ATAAACACAAAGAAAATGCGGAGAATAACAGAACGATTCGCATTAGATTCGTTTCCGACCAAAAGAACGATAGTCCAAAACGTTCTCAGACGGTTAACAACATTATCAAAAGCGTTTTCAAAATTCACCCTGGTATGTCTGGTGAAGAAACGTCAAATAAACGAAAAAGTAATGGACAGGCGAAGAATAATGCTAAAATTAACGGCGAGAACGAGGAGATACAACCAGGATATATGATATTAAAGAAAACGGATTCAACCACTCAGGAAGAAATAGTGAGCGAGTTAGCTCAATTATCCATTCAAGACTGCAAAGATGCGACTGAAGTTGGTGCCGTGCTCTCGTGATAACCTTGTTTGTACCTAGTATCAGATACTAGCTTGCAACAAAAGAGCAATGTAAATAGATAGAAGATTAACCAATAAGAAAAAAAGAAAAAAAAATGTCAGAACGATAACAAATGCAAAAGAGAGGGACACGAAATCACAATATATATATGAACACAGTCATACCAAAATATCAAGACGTGCTTTTGCTGACCGCCGTTTATTTTTCGACGAATCCATTCGTCTTCCTTTGCATAATTTTGAAGACGGATCATAGTGAAAAGTTTTTCAATCGTGAAGCTGAATAATTTTTCACTGAATTTAGAATATTTGCTGTGGGTATACACAGATGATGAAAGATTTTAACATAATCTATACATATATGCTAGATACAGGTGGAACTTTTAGAAGAATGATCCCCGTTAACTGTTAAATAACTTAAGAAGTGTTTATAATACGAGTTCAAACGGCAACAAGAAGTATACATTAATTACATATTTGTTTATCAAGATCCGTCAAACAATTTTGCTTCCAGTAATATCTGTTGATAGTCTTCGAGTGAAAAAATTAAACCCATGGGACATCATCAACATTTGCAGGCTGGATGCAAAAAAAGAAATTTGCAACTTCCAATCTTGGATTTGAATAGATACATGTCCAGAATGATACAGTTTCGAAACGATTATTACCGAGAAGAAAAGCTGATCGATACGTCTGGTATTTCAGTAACATATGTAATTTAACGTAAAATATTGAGTCGTTCCCGTAGGTTAGACCAAGAGAACAGTTTCACGATGGAACAACGGCTGGTCATCGCGTACTTACCTTTCAACCAAGCAATTAGTGGAATTATACCGGGTGGTACAGATTAGTACATGTTCGATAACAATATTGTGGATCGTAGTACGTATAGCTTTTAACAACTGAACTCAAATTCTTGTCTACGCGTTGATGCTTCCCTTGCGAGGACGTTTTTTGCCTCCTTTATTTTTCATACTCGTATGCAGGATTTCGCACTTGGAAAAGGAGATTTCGAACATTGCGTTTTTTCAGATTGAAAAAACGGGAAAATTTGTCCACCCGGTACATTCTCTGATAGTATCACTAGTATCATATATTGAAAAAGAGGAAAAGACACAGAGCTGCCAAACCTCCATAAATCATATCAAAAAAATTTGGAGGGATATTACACGAATAATTTATTGATTGACAAGCTCTTTCTCGTTGACTTGTTATTCTACCGCAATTTTTGTAGCTTGCCTAAGAGGCTTTCAATCATTCACAGAGGGAAAAAAGGACAGAAAGACAAAAACAAATGATAACGGTTCACCTTGCCAATGGTCTACACCAATAGAGATTGGACGGTCAATTAATAAACTTGGCTTCGTTCATGGCATGACCGTATCATATCATACGGTGCATTAGTTCAACATCGAATTAACTACGAGGCCTCTGTAAATTCGACGTACCGTTTTGCGCTCTAAACATAAAGTATCGCTGCCACGCGAAACGATATCGTCTGCTATCAATTTATTTAGTGTTATTATATACTGTCGTGCCGTGCGTTCTCCCGACGCGAATTGCATTCTTTGATATTTTATAGGAATATACCCTCCATAATTCGTTTACAGTCGATACAATAATCGAGAAACTTTTAAAATGAAACCAAAAAGCAACAAAGATATAAAAGAAGACACAGAGGATACAAACAACGTCAGCGTGTTCTGTCCATGCAACTGAGCCAATTAACTTCAATATTTTTGTCGTTCTTCTAATTTTTTCTTTTTAGATATCTAGAAAACATTTTTCTTTTTTAACTATCTAGACATTGTCCGTATGTTTTCTTTTTTTAGTATATTCAAGGTGCTTCGTTAGTAAGTCTAAGATCTCAGCTCGTGATACACAAACAATAAATTTAGTCATCAATGATCATGGCACCGGTGGGAAAGGACCAATCCGCAAGACCAGGGTGCAATTAACGATTTCCAGATGTCTGGAAACAGCGTAGAATTCCTAAAACGAGCTGGCTCTCGGGTGGAAAAATGATGTGCTCGATCTCCTTTTTCTTTTTTCTTTTTTTTCATCTTTTCTCTCTCTCTCTCTTATCGTCTTCGGTTTGTATGAACAGAAAAAATGAGGGAAACGCGATAATAATAACAACAACTTGACGCGTATAAACCTGTCGCGTATTAACAAATGTTTTTACGTCCGTACGCTGCGCAAATAACGTTACGAATAATATACTGAGAAACAAAACATCATGTGTACGTATAATGCAATACATATGAAAAGGTTTTTTCCTTAGTTTGTACGACAGCACGAAATAAGATAAAACATTTACGGGTTTCGTGTTTAATCCAAGAGATTGCCCGATCAAATTATCTATATTTTATTATTTTTCGAAAGAAAAAAAAATGAAAAGAAATTTACATTTTATATAAATCAGCGCCGTGAATGCGTTGCTTTTTTTAAAACAATCATAAATTGCTCATTAGCAATTTATCGTAATTACTTTAGCAGTAAGTCTTAAACGCAGTCGATTGTCATTCCTGTCATTGTATTTCGTTTTACTTATTTTTTTCTCGTTTTTTCGTCTTGTTCTATCGATTCAAAAATATAATCTTTTTTTTGCATGCGATAAGAGGAGTGGATGTGAAATGTGACTGAAATCGTCTTGCGGCGGATTATTTAGTTTCATTTTAAAATGCTCGAACAACTGGAACATGTCGCGAAATGTTAGGTTATCGATCCGAAGATCTTATTGGTTTTATCGAATCTAATGTTTACTATCCCTTCTTATCCCGTCTCTCTTTTTGTTTCTTTCATTTTTAAACATAGTTCTGAGCGGCTTGGCCCCTTCCTTTGCCAAACATCCCCAAAGTCCCTCCTCTCATTATTGTTAATAATATGTATTCAGTATTCGTGTTATTTTAGATTCTTATTATTATTGTCAGATATATTCTGGTTTATTATATCATTATTACCATGAACAATGTAATCTATTATTATTCTATAATACATGGTTTTTCCAAAGCTTGCCTGTTGTTGTTTATCTATCTATAAAAACAATGTACCTTACAGAAACTATAAATGTATGAATCAAAATAGAGTAAACATTAAGCATTTTACAAAAGAATAAATGTTTAATGTGTCATGGCTGACACGTATATAAATGCAACTTCGCGTCTTCGCCAACTCTCCATTGTTTAATATTGAACTTACTTTTGTAAATATTGATTACGCTTAATTCTTTCATCTGCATTTAAGTATAGTTACTTAAAATCAGCAAGACATATCGTAAAACATCTCCATCATTTTCGAAGTTCACATAGGAGTATTCAAAATGTGTTAGTATCTTTTTCTTTATATCTATACAATAACAAATTTATTTGTCGTGATTATTGTGAACACCGCGAACAATGATCTTTTTTATTTTGAATGATTTTTTGCACTTTCATCGTCAATTTATCTCTCAACAAATAATAACAAATTTAATAATTTTCACATTTTTTATATACACAAATCTAAATTACGTATAAAGGACACAATTCATACAGATGGTAATTAATAGTACTGAGGTACAAGATTTACAAACCGAAGAACTTTATTATGTATGCTACGATATTTCATAATATGTAATTTGTACGTTTTCGTGGTAGTTAATAATTATTTTATGTTTCACTACAGAACTGTATTAAGGTATCCTATTGCATCTTTAAAATGGTATCAATTATTCTTACTAGAATCATCGAGGAGTAATCGAACATACAAAGACTATAAAATATTTCATGATAGGTGTATGACAGTTCTAAGATATGTCTATTCTTCACCTGTAGTTTAAATCATGTGCAATACGTGTAGAACGACACAAGCAACGATGTCGAAAATACAATAGCTATCTACTTTCTCCAGCGTACGAACACCATACGAGTACTGCGTACATATACGTACAAAGTTAGAGCTGACAGAAAAGTAAAAGCAAACCACTTTCCCTTTCTCTTCGTACGAAACGCGATAAGCCGCGTTTTAACGTTTATTTTCGCAAACGAAATGAGGGAGTTTCTTGCTCTACCGATAATTTCATCCACCGGCATTTTCGCTCTATCGGTAACCACGTGATCACGAATATCGTCTACGTTTTGAATTATTTTCAGAGAAAATTAAATTAAGATACACGATTTAATTAAATAAATTTAATAATATTATTTTTAATATCTGCACCATGTATTTCTACGAAATATTAATATAATATCTAATTCAGCAAATCTAATATTTAACTTCCAACGCAATTAGATAAATGAAAAAAACATCCACTCACAAAAAGAGAAACGAATATTAATAAAACGGAATGAAAACTATAAATAGCTTAAAGATTCAAAATATATTTATACAGTAGCAATATGAAATTTTAAATAAAAATTCGAATTTCGTATCGTAAAAAAGAAGAATATTTCATATTTTAATTTTTTCTTGAATAAAAAATTTTTATAATATTTCATATAAAAAAATATATTTCTTATATAAAAAAGCATTCGATATTCGACTTTTTGCATTAAGGTTTTTCATATACTTCACTTACATGTCTCCCATATACATTTAAAGAGAACGTTGCACAGCTAGGAGAAGGAAGGAACGAGCGAAAGGTAGGAGACTTACCTTTCTCCTAAGATGTACGCTAGAAACTTGTTCCTTTCATTCCCTTGCAATGCACGCAACTAGCACGATCAAGTAATGAAGACGTGACAATCTTGCAGTTCGTTCGCGGGGAATTGTGCTTACGTGACGATAAATTGGTCCGTTTGATTACCTCGTGCATGTGGGGCCGACAGTGCCGGTGAACGTGACATTTGCAGCTGAACATTGAACAGTTTACGTATAGTGCAGTGCACCCCGCGATACATGTGGCTTAAATGAAAAAGGAGTGGTTCCGTTATTCGCGTGTACGAAAATGAGAAAGAAGATCGAGCAGGATACAAAAAACACAGAGAAACAAACGGACTTTACAGGTCAGTGGCTTTTTTCGAGAGGTGCAGTGCACCGACGATATTTTGTTTACTCTTGGTGGACCAATTTGTATACGTGTGCCAGATATTTTGCTTCCATTCCTGCGAGATATAGTTCGTTTCCAAGCAGCATTATGTTTCTTGTTTCAGTCAGATAAGAATATTTACGCAGTGTCGATCTCTTTTTTTGCAGAATGGGAAACCTCGAATTTCATAAGTTTAAAATCTTATAGATGGAACCGTTGTGAGATGCAGAGATAGTTTTAAATATATAATTATTTAATGTAATATAGGTAGCAGTATGAAGGTTAAGTTAGCGTAATTCTTTGACTTTAAAGTGGAAATTTACTGTCTCCAAAGTTTTCGTCATGTTTAAATGTAGATACAGTTACATAATTTTGGTTCTTGACCAAAATTATTTGTATATAGATTTATAGAATCATTATTATTATTAGTTCGCTCACGTAAAGGTCGCGTGATATTTTATCGAGATTATTTAAAGAATTTCAGAGGTGAAAGATCGTGATTATTAGATTATAGATGATTTCCTATATTTTTAAGAGAAAGAGTAAGCACTCGGACAAAAAAGAAAAAAGTTTATCTTACATCGTTGGCCTCTCTTGTCTCTATGAAGGACGCGTAAATACATATACAGGAAGGTTTCGTAATTCCTGACAAATCCAATTTATGATTTTTCTATTGATTGTGAGACTATACCATAGCTGATATAATAGTTTTTTTCTGTGATATAACCATTTTTTTTCCTCCGATTATTGAAGGTTTTGTACTAAATATCAGAGATGTTACGTATTTAGATTATGAAATAAAATTTGGAACGATTCCATTAAATAATTATTAAAGATTATTATTATTACTATAATTATTACTTATTATATTATTATATTAGTTTACTATCATATTCTTTATTTATTCATTTGTCTACAAGATAAATAATAAGAAAAAAATAATATCTTGGCAATATCTGTGCATAGATCATCAATAGAGGTGTAGTCATTTAAAGTAAAGTAGTTAGAATAAAAAAAAAGAAAAGATCAATAGAAATATTAAATTCGGAAAATTCAAAGATTATTTCTATTCGAATTTATATATGAATTTATAACTAACTTTCGAACTAATTATTGCCTATAATAATATTTAAAGACTGGATAGATATTTCGTCACTATGAATGTCCAACGAAATCGATTTGATAATTTACCGTTAATGTAGAATATTAGCTATAACCAAACGTCACTTAACACGTTCCGCGTTTTCTCGGAGGATTGCACGTTCCTCCTAAACATGCAGTAATTGACGAAAGTGCGAATAGAAACGGACGTCCTCGACTTACTTCTCTCGGTTGTTTAACTATGAATGCAATACATGTGCAACACGCGAGAAAATAGCTGAATTCTAATTCTTCTACGTTTTCATTGTTCAAATATTCAACGTTGTTAAAATAGAAACAGAAACGATTAACTGTTAACTAGAGAATATATCGAAGAATTGTTCGGTGAAAGCAATTGTTTTCGCAATGTGCCGGTGACATAACCTCGATGATCTAACTTTCTACATACTATGCACGAGTAGAAAATCGAATTTATAAAGTAATGATAAGGTAATAATAATAAATAATAAAATAAATAATAAGAGAAATAAGATATGACGAGATAATTTTCTTTTAAAAAGATAAAATAAATTTTGTTAGACGATTAATATCGAGCATTGTCTATCGTATTGTAAATCGAACAAATGTCTATCATTCGATTAGACTGGACCGTATTTTGAAGTCTGAACAAGTTGACAATTGCAAATTATGTCTTCGATGTTTCGCAACCTCTTATAATAGCTCCTTCGTGATCAATCAGACGGAAGTAGCTTTTATGCATTATGTCATTCTGGAAGTATCTCTAGTTTGTAAATCGATAGCTGTTAGAAGATATTACTCCATAGAAATACAATATTTTTAGTTATATAATTAATTGAAAAATTACATACGAAAGGATTTGGGACTAATTACAAAATTAGATAAAAGAACTGTGATCCTTTGTTTTATCCTTTTATCCTTTATGGTTACAACCATGTGTGATAAAATGTGTGTTAAAAAGCGATAAAAACTAACCTGTAACAGGAGTATTGGTGTTCGTAAGTATTAAGCATTATAGAATTATTTACTTACTTCAAGAGTTCTTTATCCTCGCGTTATTTAATTACATACGAAACTATGAGTCAGATAAAGCAGGTTATTCTAATTCTAAACGAAGAGAAACACTACCATGATTAATTCAAACAGAGGTATCTAATTCTAGACACCAATTATCATCGTATTTAATTATAGTTTACATTATATTTTACCGCTTACTACTTCTATAAAATACAAATCGACTAAAATACCTATACTTAAATACTTATTAGATCCGGATGTTAAAATTTGACCATAAAATGACCGATCTATTATAGACTTGATCATAGGACGATCTTGAACACTCTCGAACAACCTTCAATTTACTTTATATGATATGTATCTAGATGGCCATGTGGTAATCATTAGAAATCCTTGCATGGCGTGATTGCGTACATTAACTGAATTCGATTCGTCTATTTCAGTTCAATCGAAGATTGTATTTGAACGGAATTTGTACTTTTAAAAGGTGAAAGGTTCGAAAGTATGGGAATTACTGGAATAATCCATTATGGTTCAATGAATTCGATAGTGACCTAATGATAATGGGCCTAATATAAGCAAGCACACCGTATTCGATTACGCCTCATTATGGGCATCTATCGATCTTCTTTATTCCTGTCACGTCCGCTGCACAGATGTACCCACTTTCGATGGCTCTGAATACCAAATGAATTCCGTCATATCGAATCGTAGGATCACCCACACGATCTACGTTCTATGTGCGTGCGTTTGTTTTACGAAATCGGTCCGTTGTAAGTTTTTTGTCAAACAATGATCGAATCACGAAACAACTTCATTTCTACGAAGATTTGTTGCCATTCGTAATACGGTAGAACTGGCATTTATCAGATTCGATACGAGTTTGTTGCAAGCAGTCCGTTACAGAGGATGACATAGGATTTAATGGTACTTTAGGATACTTCGGCAGTTAATTTATTTTAGTTAATCGGATTTTGGAAATTTCAGTTTCCTGGAATTTTCTAGATTTTAGAATCATCGAAAGATTCTCGGAATCGTCTAGGTTCTGAGGATATCGAGGACTTCGGAAGAATTTAAAGATGGCGAGTCTCAAGGACTTTCAAGAGTTTAGAATGTTCCTATAGCGTGTATAGTATGTGTATTAATACGCGTATTAGGAATTCGAGGCCAGAAATTCAGCACCTAACAGAAAGATTCAAGAATCAAAATCCAAGTGCAAAATTTTTGGTTCTGGATTTTAGACCTTTATTTTTCAGTCCGGTATAGCAAATATTCTACGTTTCTTTATTATTGTTTATATAACTAATTTTTTAAGACATTCTCCTACAACAAGTCATCAATTTAAAACGCTGAAAAGTATTTCGATGGATGAAAGTGAAAAGAAGATTTTATTGTTGAAATGACAAATGTCATGAGCCTGTGTCTGCATTTAGATGTGGAATCGAAGCTGCGAACGCTCCTCAAAGATGGAGCAAGCACTTTCATGGACTTTGAATGGCTACAACCAGAATTACCGTGGTTCTTCGACGAAGAAAAGTTTCGCCTCGGACAGCAGATGTTTTATAACAACGCTTTCACCATGATGATTGCCAAACTATGTGGATTATTATCTTTATTCGCTGTACCGTCGATCAAGGACGTTTTAATATTCACCAGACGGAGTGGTACACCGTGTGCTGCCTTTCGCAGATACGTATCCACCATTCTACATAATTGGGTTTGGTATGGAAAAAGAGCTGGCATAGAAAAAGAGTAAGTACACCTAACAATGGTTATTTAAAGATCATACGAGAGTAGCATAAATATTTTTCTCTCATTTTAAAAACACTTTTCAGTAATTGCAGAAACAGAAAAGCTGGTTTTTAACTGGGCAGCAATTTATCTACCAAAGAACTTTTTTAATTTATTCATATAAGATACCTCGAACAGTGTGAACAAATTTTCAAAAATGATAAACGAAAAGTAAATCATTTTACTGCGAACCAGTAACTTACTAATCCAATTCCTCGGAAACGCGAGACGCGTTAAGAATACCGTTTTCTTTAAATAAGTTTCTATTCTTATCATTTGTCGCTATTTATAACAGTAACACTTGTAACGCGTGTCGACCGTTGTTTATTATTAAATTGACGCTATGAAACATCTATAGTAACGTATTCAACATCGTATCGAAACGTTGATTTTTTTACGAATCCTGACAAAGTGTCCCGTGTACGAAAATATGGATGAGGGGAGAATCCATCGGGTACTCGTCGTTCATTGACATTCAAGGAATCATCGAACGCGTGCAGTGTCGGTATTTTAATCGATTTATCTTGCCGGATATATATTCCTGTGTAGACGAGCGAACGGAATAATTTCGTGTCTGGGAAAGTCCAAGATATTCAACACGAGTATCATACATATTTTTTCAATAAAACCCAACCATATAACATATATGCGTATAGAATAGAATAGTAGAGCATCAAATGGAAAATTCGATCGTAAGATTCGACTTAAATCGACCGTAACGTAAGCGTAAATAAGAGAAAATAATCTAAAAAAAAGAGAAATAGAGAGAAAAATTAAACGATTTAAACTAAGTAGATTTGTTTGGTATGAGATATTAAAAAAAATTGCTAGATCGGTAAATTGAAGACGAATTAGACACAAATTTTGAGTTCATTCTGAATAAGATCTTTTATAAGAATAATTTTTCTCTTTCTCGTTTTGTAGATTTCTCGAATCGCTGAAAATCGTACGGAAAAAACACTGCGTAGCGTTTCGAAGAAGTTCAGAGGCGGGGCTGAACAGAGTCTCGCAACTGGATATGGCATTGGCTCAATTTGGATTCATGGGTTTCACCCTCCTGGCTGGTGACTATCTTGGGGTGAATAACAGTTCCGAGGAACTGGAAGGACTGATTCACTTCTGGCGAGTTATTGGCAACATGCTGGGCATGGAAGACAAGTTTGTAACCCAAACACGAATACTTCTTTCTTTTCAAAATCTTAACATTAATTTCAATTAAAATTTGTTTTCCAAAGTAACGAAGAGAATTTATGTCAGTTCAACATTTAATAGCTATATTAGTAATAATAGAAATGGTTGGAATGTAGATATTTATGCGAACTTATAATTACATAAAAATTTACAGAGGAATGGATGTAAATAAAAATGTTCGTTTCACTAAATTATATTTATATTTCACAATTATATTGTAAAGAACACTTTGCGTATTTTGTATATTTTTATATACATATTACATACACTTCTAAAAATTTTAAATTTTCCATAAATGCGTAAATTTAGTAATAGATTATGAATTTTTGAAGTGGATGTGAAAAGGGTAAAGAGTTTTCTGTGTAAATAATAAAGAGAATGTTCTACAAAAGTAATAGAGCTAAGATCTTCTACATGTATAAGTAATAAGGATAGAGCCCTAGAATCAAAAAAGGAATTAGTAAAGGAGTGTATAAAGGAGAGAGAGAGAGAGAGAGAATGGGAGAATAGTCAGGAAAGGAAAAGAGCGAAAAAGAGAAAGAAGGGACTAGAAGAGGTGAGAAAAGGAGGGACGCAGATAGAAACAGAAGAGGAGCAAGAAAGGATGACAGCAGACCAAATTATAGAAGAAAGAAGAAAGAGAGAAACAGAAGAGAGGGGTAAAGAATAAGGAAATCCAAGTATAATATACACTACAGAAACATAGCCAAAGAAAAATGACCAAAGTCCTTAGAAGGGAGAATGAAATGGAAGGACAGAAGTATACTGGCAAGGTTCAGATGCGGAGACGAGACCAAAGCAAGGGAATACTGGAAAGAAGAGGGGGGAACAAGGATGCAGACTATGCAGAACGAAAGAAGAAGACCTAAAACATGTAATAGAAGAATGTGAAATAACGGGAGGACCAAAGGACATAGGAAAAACGCTAAGCGAGACTGGAGAAGGTTTAGCAGAACTGAAAGCAATAATAGAGAAGTGAAGGGCAAACGACAAGAAGGAGGCACAGCAAGGAGGCTAAAGACCAAAGTTGCGATAGTTTTTAGTCATTAGTTGCTAATTTATAGTTCCTAATTTTTAATTTTTAGAGGTAGAATAAGCAAGGTAGTGCAATAGAATAGAGTGGAAAAGAGGGGAGGTAAACATATAAGAAGAGAAATAGACATAAGAGATATAAAATAATAAATAATAAATAATAGTAATAATAATAAGTAATAAGGATAGAATTTTCTATGTAAATAATTAAATACATCTATCCATAGGTACAATCTTTGCACCGGAAGCGTGGAAGAGACACGGGCTCTTTGCAGACGACTTCTGGACGAGGTTTTCCTCCCCTCACTCGCCAGTGGTAGCAAAGATTTCGAAGAGATGAGTCGTATTTTAATAGAATCCCTATGGCCGGTGAATCCTTATATGGATTCGAGTGCTTTCATTGAATTCACATTCATTCTAGCCTCCACTGCCGCCACGAATAATAATCACTCGTTAAAAATAGGTAAATCTCCTACTTATACAGACGTAAATTGAACTTAGTGTATATGCAAAAAGATAATATTTTTAGATTCATCAAGGATGTCGTGGTACGGTAGATTTATCTTGAATGTTCAACTAATTACACACAAATACCTATTACCAAATACGTATTGGTGGTCCAGATTCTTCAGGGCGTTCTTCAACAGCCAAATGCGGTTGGCCATCTATTTAACGGAAAATTTACCGTTTCTGGCGTTCTGGAGTTATGGTATAAAACACTCTTACGTCAATATATACAAATATCGCGTCATCTGACCTTAAATGTGATAATTGTCTTATAAAATAATCAAAGAGTAACAATTACCTTTTTCGTCGAAAGTGTACATAATCTGACGTAAAATGATTCTGCAAACGTATAATGTATTCTTAATAACTTATAATCATTGCAGTATATGTATTTAGGATATGCTTTGCAGTATTTTTAGACTCGTAACATGTTCGCAAGCTCTACTGCGATTCTTGGATTTTTATGTTTTCGTTTTATTCTTTTTTTTTTTAACAAACAATAAGATTTTGAAAATCTTGAGAGAAATTATAGTAGATAACGAAGATATTACTTCCCTGTAATTTAAGAAATTTGTTAGTAACAAGAAACAGAGTCGTGTCTAATATGAACCAAAATATCTAACAGTTAAGGTCAATTTAAGTCAAAGCTCAATTTAGAAAATAAGCGATATATAATAATAAGATTAAATAGCGCTGTGTAATTCTTTCGGTACCTGCAAAGAAAAGATTTATTACGTTTATTATATGTATACTTAAAAAGTAGTTCTTATGACTGTATTTATAATTTGATAACTTTATATTAACTACTCAATGTAAATATAGATACAGTAAGCTACAAGTTAAAATTAAAGGAACGCTATCTGTCTTTATATTAATAAATTGATTGAATGAAAGTGTGAAGTTGGTTTCAGACGAAAGACAATGACCCATCGAGCGTGCATACCCGCTTACACGAAAACCTTAAAAACTGTGTAATATTTCCACGCAACGTATTGTAATTTTAGTCAAGTCTGCCTTATCTCTCGCATCATGGCGTCTGGTGAGTGTTCCTTCTTCAGGCGAGACTACAACAATACTTTCGCACAGATCGTAAATCTGTCGTTCAACCAGTATCTCATTCGAGATGTTTCTTCATCGTTTATTTTCTTTACAAACAGATATTCTTGGTAAACATGAATATCTAATTAAAAGATTATCAATAATCGAATCTCAGATCGGTGTATCTCGAGCTACTTGAGCAAATGCTCGAGTAAAACTTACGTCCAGAGACAATTAACCTTGGATACTATCCACGACACTAAAATAAACATGATAATAGAACAGATGTACAACTCGTTGGATAAAATATGATTGCGATTCTATCGACAGTAGTATGAAACGTTGCGTTCCTATTTCCTAGATTCTTTAACTCATTAAGAAGGTACTTTGATTTAGAATGCCACTTTTTACATATTTTTAAAGATTTTTTTGTATTATTTCTTGCACACATATTTGTTAACGCTCGAAGAATATTCAACGTCTTTTTCAAGTGAAAATAATCATTATTAATTATTAGTTATTAGTTACTAGATATTAGTTATCAATTATTTGTCATTACATGCAAGCATTGGAATAATTGGTTAGAATTGCATAAATGCAAAGGTATTGAAGGACGTAAACAAAGTAATTTAGATACCGTTTTGCCAATGTAGAACAAACATAATAGAATAATAGTGTATGCTAAATAAGAAGTATGTTAAGTGTAATCTACAAATTTTAAGCGTATTTATAATATAACGATCATTTTAGATTCTTAAGTCCCTCAAATGCTTTTATACGAGTAAATTGTATGGGATTTCGGTCCCAATTTTTCCATGGAACTGCGCCAATAGAAAGTCGAAACTCGTCGCGTGATTTTAAATCTCGACCTGAATAATTGCGCTCGAACCTCAGGGAATTGTGTTTTTTTTTTTTCTTTGATAACTTCCTGTTGGTATCATCCTCGATGAACGTACATAACAATGATAATACGACGTCGCGTGTCGCCGGCAATTTTACGTTTTGTGATTTACAAAATTGAAAGATAAACAGTAGTTTGCATATTTCTTAACAATTTTACGGACGATATTTTCCTTATTTTTAGGATGACGGAATAATTGAGATTCCTTTTATGTGTGACTCTATTGACTTTATGACTTTATGAGTGACTATTATTCAGAAAGATGTAGCGTTCTTTCGACAGTTTCGATATTCTGTTAGGTTGATGCATATGAAATACCGTTTCCTCCAAATTTCCTATCGACGTATTAAAGAAGAAGAAATTTACTATAAATCGTATACGTGGGTACATTGAATGTTAAGAATCTTCAAAATTTCTAATAAAAAAAGAATTTAACGATTAATCGTCAACAGGTCCATTCTACAAATGTTTGACCTGTAGAACTTTCACTTCTAATTCTTATAAATCTGAAATAATGAGATCAATTATTATTTAGGAAAATGCATTGAATCACGCGAAAAGTTTTCGTTTTCGTTGAACGCATGATCTTTTAAAAAAAAATTACGTTAAAATTTTATTTAAGAGAAAAAGGAATTTCATACGTATCAACATGAAATTATCCAACAAGTATACGACGTTATTTCATTTTCATATAAACCGGTAATTCTAGAAGACATTTACAGATAAACCGACGACGATTCACTGAATGAAAAATATAAAATAGTACGTTAAGATTGTTGAATGTCGAGCAACGAGTGCAGCCGCAGGAGCAACGTAGTATTTAAGAAAAATGCAAGAATTCCATGCAACTGTGGATGGGAAGTGAGATTCGGTTACGGTGTCGCGGTTACGTTGGCCATCTTCGAGGCTAAACGTTTTTTCATGTTGATCCTGGAGATATTTGCCGAATGGCAAATCATTCGATTCGCAGGTGGTCTACGACCAGTCATATTTACGTTAATAAACGTCAGCTTGGGTTTACCGACTGCTCTAATTACTGTACGCAGTATACGAACGTAAGTATTTATAATATAACATTATCCAAATCTCGTACATAAATAATTTAACGGATGATAATCGAATTGTAGAGAATTGTATATAAACCTCGTACAAATTTAAATTAGTATATGCAATCTGTATTTTAAGCTAAATTTTGTTTACTGTTTTGAATTTTCTAAAAATCTTACATCGTCTCACGTTTTACGTTATACACGGTTGTAGTAGAATGTTATACGTATATTACGTATAGTAATATTACACAGAATTTATCAATAAGATTTCATCAATTTTATATGCATTATTTCTTCTTTTAGGCGAAAAGTACCACGCTGCTGCGCGGAAACAAGACGAACGCTAAAATGCTTGTTAATAGTGATCGCGATATGCGCCATAATGAACGCGGCTACTCTGGTCTCCATAGGATATCACATGAACGTCAGACAAGAAACGTTAATCGACATTTTCAACAATTCGATGCAACTGTACGTGAGTGCATCGTCTTACAAGTACGCGCTCGACGAGATACAATTCATCTTTCAATGCTGCGGCCATTCCTCCTACACAGATTGGTTTCTCTTTGACTGGCAGGTGAATCCACCATTCAAAAATGGTAACTCAAAGCACGGTATAACAAGTGTGAACAGAATAGTTTAAGAATATCGAATAACGTAAAATAGTATGAGAAAAATATTACACGATCAGGGAGTAGACTATGCTTCGCGAGATGAAATGGCTGTGCAAAGTCCAGTATCTGACGAAGAATATAGAGACCGAAGTGTCCCGTTTAGCTGCTGTAATTTACGTGCAATGACACCGTGCGAACACACGGAGATCTTGGAGACTGACGTGAAAACCATAAATACGAATGGCTGCGTCGAAGTCGTTACACCTGTCATACTTAGGATCGTCATCGTCGCTTACGTCATGACCAGCACGCTTGTAATCATTCAGATCTTCTTAGCCTTCTTAATTACAAAGGTAGTTTTAATTACAGTATAAATGTCTGTTATTACCGGAGTATGTTACCGGATGTTTATGCAAATTCGTAAATACTTTTGCAAAAATTGATAAAGAAGTGAAACTTGAACAAAAGAAAGTATATCTTGGCATTTATATTTTGTAATACGTATTTTGTATTCTTTTTTCTCTCGTTCATTTTATTTTTTGTATTTTATATAATCTGTTCTTTGTCCATTTTATTCTTTGTATTTTACATATCTTCTCTTTGTCCCTCTAATTGGTATTATATTATGACAGTTGTTGCGTTAATCATTTCGCACTAGATATTACATATAAATACGTAAAGTATGTATGTAAAATATGTAAAATAGACTTACACTTCACTACGTTATGTTTTCCTTATAAAAACCTTGGGGAAAAAGGTTCCTATCATTAATTGATAAAATATCATTTTTTCCACTGTCTAAAGAAAATTCAACGAAGAATTAGTTGTAAGAGCTGACAGAGTTCTCTGATAGACTCAATGACAATCTATTTACTTTATATGACGAAATATTCAATGACAAAGTCAACAGTGAGATGCAACTGGATTTTTAATTTGCTCAATTAGATCTCTTGGATCTTTCCTTTAGATCATACGGAAACTTTTATGCGGAACGTGTCTAACGTACCATTTTCCAAAAACCTTCGCCAATGAGTCCACCAGCGCATCATTAGATGCTACAAGGTAAGACTCAATTAAAAAGATAAATTTCATCATTTTTGTAACGTTCGCGTATTAATACGATATAAAATTCTATATTTCCAATAATACAGTTCTTCTTCATGAAATAACACCGTTTAATAATAAATTAATGCTGTAAATTAATGCTATAAAAACATGTAAGAAAAGATGTAGCCCAATCCACTTTCGCTGTCGATGCTTAATTTCATTTTTCTATTATTCAGTTCGGAAGCAGATGGACCAGGCCCCAGCACATCCTCCTCAAACTGGGAACAACAACCGAAGTCTACAAAGAAACGCCATAAACGTATACGAAGCAACAAACGCATCCCATCAAACAAAAATACCGATCCAAGAAATAAAAGCAACTCCAAAGACGATTCTACTTCCTCGTCGCCATTCGACTCTTCGCGTGGGTCCAAATACTCCAGTCGTATCTCTAGAATCCTCGATGCCGCTAGAATCAGACCAAGTACCCACGAGGAGCACACGATATTCAAGAAACGATTGCGCGACGATGGAACGCGTTGAACAAACGAACTACCTATCATTCGCGTGTTTATTCCATCCGTCGTACAAATCAAATCACGTCACTGCTGATGTTTTACGAGCGTTTAGCTACATATATTTGCGTCTAAAAAAAGCATGAGCGGGTTAAACATGGAATAAACTGGCGTTCTCGAAGAATCGGAATAGGTATAAAGATCATTTCCTGGAGGAACAGCTGGTAAGCACTGCGAAGCGAGGAGGATCTTGTCGATGTCTGAAAAACAGAATTTTCTGTCCAAGATATTCGAAGAAGACTCGAAGAAATTTAATCGAAAGACGGGCTACAATTTTGCAAATTATTGGATGAAGAAATAGGAAGACAGCTGTTAAGAGGTAGCTAATTATTATGTATATATAAGAAAATAAAATTCGCTCCATGTTATAAGAAGAATGATAATAAACGCGTGGAAGAGGCGTTAAGACACTAAGAGATTAACTATGCGTCTTCGATAACAATGAAACATAAATTCTGTGAAGAATATTCAAAGAAGATTCGGGGAAATTCGATCGAGAGACGAGATGGAATTTTTTCGATATTGGAAAGAGAAACACGAAGAAGAATGATGATAAACACGTGGAAACGGCGTTAAGACACGGCTAACTACGCGTCTTCGATAACAATGAAATACAAATTATAATGATTAGAAGTAAGCGACGACAGCGAAGAAGACATGCGTGGTGGGGATCGACGAATCTTGCGTTTAGTAACACAAGATCGTCTACTGGAGTGCAGTACGATTCAAAGCACCGTGGAAGGCGCATTGGTAAAGTCGCTAATCCCAAGTTGCATATAGATATAGTCGTACTACTTTGTGTCTTTAACGAAACGACTCGTAGCAGGTTCGTAAAATTCTGTCTCACAGATTTTGCATACGTAGGATTTCATTTAATACCTAGGATTAATTTGGTAAGACGTAGAGCATAATATTGTATAAGTCAGGCTTGGAATCTTTTGTAAATGTGCAGAGAGTCACTATAAAAAAAGAAGCTTATCGAGGATCGTTTGATTTTTTAAATTCTTGAAACCAATCGGAAATCAAATACGTAATCGCAACTCTCGGAATTGATGGTATTTTCACATTTGTATGATAAAAAATTCAATTGAGTTTATTATTTCCGAAATACATCGGATAACATTTCTTCACTCTAAATTCCAATATTCCAAATATAATACATACATACAATAATACCTTATAATGTAAATGAAAGTACCGAAACGTACGTATGTTACGATATTAAGATGTAAATAAAGTTAGAATTATACAAATAAAAGCAAAAAATTCCTCCAAATTGATTCGTTTCTCATTCGATGCGAGCGCGCGAATATCTGAACGCCTCCCACTCTCACGCTCGACAAACTTCGTGAGCGTTCGTGCGCACTTCGGTTCCCACTAGAGCTGTTCGCGGTTCTCCGTCCCATTTCGGCCACGCTCGCATCATACAGGCGCGCGCGCCGGTTAGTTGCGAACGCTGTCGGTTCAGTCAAGAAGCGTTAGCTTGCTAGTAGTGATCGTTACGATTGTTACGTTCTTTGTTAGTAGTCGGTTATCTGCCACTCTGTCGATATCGTAGCATGTGCCCACCAGTTCACAGTCACGTATACGTCTACCTGCCACACCACCAGCCCCATAATAAACTCGTCTCTTACGGCTACCGTTAGGGTTGCCGTGACACCGTGTCTGTTTTGTGTTCTTTCCTTCTTGAAAAAACCGGTAACGTCATCGTTTACATTCGCGAGCTGTCCTTTCATCCGGAGAATGTCCAGGCTATAACTTAAGAAATCTTCATTGGTGTGCATAGTGATAGCATGATTTTTTCTTGGATATTCTAGTGAATTTGCTCCAAATTGTGGCATTCGGTGGGTGAGTTCGCACGTGGTTGAATGATCGGCATACATGCATTAAGCACGACCCACGTATTTTCCGTCCGTATAGTGGTGCTAGTTGATCGAACCTAAGCGGCGCGATCACACACAAGAGATCAACAAGAAAGAAAGAGAAGAGTTATAGGGGGAAGAAAAGGGCGGCACACGCACGAAAAAAGAAGCGATCGAGTGAACGGAACAGAGAGAAAGATCGGGGACAAGATACGAAATTGCGAGGGCAGCCGAAGACCGTGAGACGAAGAAGGAAACTAGTTAAGGAGTAACATAGAAAGAGACAGCAACAGAAATCTCATTTCGACCGAGTAACTAGCCACAAGCAAGATGAGCTGCTGCACGAGTGCTCCGATTGTAACCCAAACCTGTGAGACTCTTCTGAGCAAGTGCGAAGTGCCGATCATCGACCTCGCTCACATGGGTAAGTGTTCGTTGTTCTATTCGAATTTTTTCACTTGTTCAGCGTTAACGCTTTGGCGAGCGGATTATGGATGAATATTACTGAATCGTTTGATGCCCATATGCCTTTAACAGTAAATGTTTGTAGTATTTAGGTAAATGGTATGTTAGGTAAGGTTAGAAATGATATAGTTAGGAACTATAGTTAAAACTTGTATGTATTTATTCATTATAACTTTGTTATATATTTAGTACAAAGTAACGGAATTTGTGAAATTACAAAGGTATAAAGATTGTACTATATAATGAAAATTATGCAACTGTGAAACACTATAAAAGCTGTATCGTATAACCAACAGTTTTAGAGGCTATGAAACTATTCAGGATATAAACGTGACGATTAACCGAATTTTCAAAAATTTGTAGAATGACCCAGCCATCTGATCGCGGAGGTTAAAATATCTTATCTCCATTGAAATATCAAATGTATATTCTCATTCGTAGCTCAGTATTAATGTATAACTCGCAAGAAAAGGAATACAATTGCGACGATACTATTGTAGGACGATAATATTAATCAAAATAATTCGCATGGAAGTTTCATTTATGATAGTCTGTAAGGGTTAAACAAAAATCCATTAAAGAAGAAAGAAAGATGTCACGCATCGCAAACTGTCGCAACTTAGAACATAGGTCAAACTGGCAAAATTAGCAGCAGTAAAATCGACGTAGTTCAAAATTAACCGCGATACAAAGGCACGTGGCACTGCGCGACGTGATACATTATTTGCCCCCAACGCTCTTAATGATTAACCGTTTCATTCGCTATGATGACTTCACGCAAAAGTTCATGGTTACATTGGTTGTCGATTAATCCACCGTATAACCAAAGAGAAAGACTCGACTGTAAAATAGAGAATATACGCGTAAACATTCTTTCCTTTTTCTTAGCCAAGAAAACAGGTTTTTTAGAGTCGTTAACCCTGCTACGTCTTTTGTGTCATTTTTTAGTTAATCGTGTTCTTCTTTCGTCATTTTGAATATTAGAAAATATAGGAAATTTGAATCGTTGCTAATACACGAGATTTTTCGCTCTAAATTTTGATTCGCCTATTCGAAATCTTTCTATCTATTTAAAGAAGATTGGATATTAGTGAAAATAATAAAAATTTTAAAGATGGTGGAGAAATTACTCTGTCGGTAACTTGAAAGTCCACGAAAATAATATTGCACAATAGCTTAATTAAATGCAATTTGGGTAGAAAAGATGTAAAAGTAGGTGTGAACAAATTGCAAGCGTTTCAGTTTACTCCTGTATTACAATTTCAATCTCATGTTTGAAAGCTCTTTATCATTCTTTAAATATTACAGTAGCCATTTTCAATTTCATTGCAGGCGGTTTCTGAAGTGTATTTGACATAGTTTAAAGACGTAATTACATCATTATGACAGAAAATTTCCTAAACATTTTCAATTACTTGTAAATATTAATAGAAATGTATTCCAAATTACATGCAGTCAAATAAATTCCCCAATGTAAATTTATATTTTATTTTGAGTCCATAGATACAAAAGAAAGGAATGAATTAGGATTAAATTACAACGGTAAATAAACTAATTAGTTCACTACTTTTTAGAAAACTCATTTAAAAACAAAATGGACTCACATAATACCATCTTCTCGTATTATACCACAAGGAAACAGTAAATAATACATACCATGTTTGTATTGTAACGGTTGATTTTATACGTTACCGAATGATATGCTATAAATACGTGCACTTTTCTAAATATATAACGGCGGGATCTAAAATCGTTGGCCTTTCACATGTATTTTTAAACTGGATCGTTTTCTCACGTGGAAAACGTGATCGACTTGTGGCGTGAATAATGTTCTGTAGAAGGTTCAATGTAAGGAGTAAAGAATTTTAGAGATTCAAAGGGTGACGCTTTTACGGTTGCTTGGCAACGAGGCCAGGCAACTGGCCAGACAGACAAGCAAACCAACAAGCTTCGCTTCGTTCACAGTCAGAGGCGCCTACCTCAGGCCCGACGATCCGTTGAGGTCATAGCCCAGAGCCCGTCTGACAAAGAAGGGCCCCTCCCTTGGCGCCCTCCTCGATTCATATAGGGTGTCTTGTATACACTATCTGTCTGTACTTGAAATACTTTATTTGAAACATGTTATTATCTACTTTTGTTAATATAAAAATTATAGTATATCAAAGTACCATTTAAAAAATATAGAATATAATTTATTACTCTCAGAAATAATTCAGATTTTTTTAGTACTTATTACGTTATATCTACTCTTATCAATATAAGAATTATGGTGTATTCAAATTTGATTGAGAAGTATATAAGATGTAATATATTACTCTCAGCAATAATTTAAATGTTTTTATAAGAAAATTTAATATAATTGTAATATGAACCGTGAAATGGAACAATGTAATATTGTTTGCATAAATTTTTTATCTTCATTTTCCCTTTGAATTTCATTTTCATATTATTTTTTATTAGAAGAAATTGATTTAAGTACAATAATGATTCATAATTAAATTAGAACAATCGTGATTTCAATCACGCATTATCTTTATCTTTTCTTATCCATTTAGCTATCTAATTGATTGCGAATGAAAGTAAATAAAAATAAGAACATAGTTAACAGTTCAATACATAACAATTATAAGCAATTTTTTATCGTAAATTTACTTACATCGATCAATGGTTGTTTCGTTTAATATCACTTTCTACTGCATGATGTTTCGATTCTTTTATGTTCGAGGACTAAAACGATAGTCAAACAGCTCGACTGCAGCATGTTCAAACAACTCATTCAGTCGCTAATATTGATAAACCACACTGACGCTTGTGCAACCATTTCGTCGACAAATACAATATTGACAGTATTTGTGGAGGAATAATTATTCATTATATATTATTAGATCCTCTAACATCTTAAACAGTAGTTGGCATTCTGACAAAGATAATATTAAACTCATTGATTTTTACATAATACTATATAGATTAGGTTCACCAAAAGGCCACTTTTGTTAAATTTACAATACGACATCTGCTGCATTGAAATGATATTTATTATCGATTCGGGTATTTTTAACATATTATAACATCTGTAGATTATAGATGTTTATGTAATTATCAGAAATTTAAATATTGAAAAATCCAAAATACGTATGTAAGAATATACGAAATATCCAGCAAAGTGTCCATTGTAATATTTAGATGAATAGATTTCTATTTGCCTCTTATTTTTTTATTGCATTTATAAAAATAAATTGACATAGTGATATGCAAGAAATCAATATAAAATTAGATTTTAATATTACCATTTATTACTGTAACAGAATAGAACAAAAAGTATCGAATGACGTATAACACAGGCAATAAGCAAATGTATAGTTTACATTCAATATGAAATGAAAACCGCGCGAACTTATGAACCTAACCTAATAGGTTCTCAGGGTTGTATGAATATGTCATACTGATCATAGAGCTTCATTGTCGATCAATACAAAAAACGTATGAATACTCGTACAACTCGAATAAAACATCTCGCGTGCCTCTTCGTGATTGTAAGTGTGTTGGATAATGATTTAAGTGTTCCCTACAGTGAACGTCGTCGAGAATAATGGATTGGCGTGCGCGGTGTAAACGAAAAGATAGCCGCGTTTGAATTTGCGACCCAAGCCACGAAACGTTTCACCGTTTCTCGTTCTATCCTTCTCTGCCTTCGATTTGGTTCAGTTGAATCGTTTCGTTGCTCTTTCTTCGTTTGTGTATATGTATGTATTTCATGTCTGGGCGGCAGGCCAACGACTCGTGTACAGTATTACTGGCGTCAACAGAAAGAAACAAGGGGCAGAGTATCGTTTCAAAAGTGTTTCTCGATCGAGATCGCAATCGGAAATATCGTTGTAACGGTCACTCGATAATCATCGATTATGTAAATGATGACAAAGTATATGTAGCTAATTGAAATTCCTCAGTGATCCCCCTTAGTCATCACTGATCTCTTTGTGTCTGGTAATATCATAATATAGATATGTATGTTATGTATAACAAAGCCGTATTAACCAGCCGTCGCTATCTCCACAAGAATCCTTTTGCACAGTGATTTATTAGCTGATAATATTAGTCGATTAACGATTTACATATGAATTATAGGCTATTTCTTCCTCTTTTACAATTTCATCGTTCTTTGTTAAATAAAATAATTTAACTATTTTTTATAAAATTTTGTATAAAATTTCTTATAAAAAGTTAGTTAAATTTATTATAAACTTGTTAGTATTGTGCAGGAGAACGTTATAAGTCTAAAATAAACAAGTGTATCAGGTATCTGTATCTCACTTGGATTCAGTGGCGAAGAAAGATACTCAAAATTACCTGGAAATATATCTTCCTTGATAATCGACTAGATAAAATCCTAACCAACGGTCTGTTAATGGAGCACCTTAACCACTTGTTGACAAACGTATATCAATGAAACCAAGATGGAATAAAGATCACGTGAAATCGGTACTACGTTCTTAACCTCAATCACAACCGCGAGAAAATATTTTTTATCGACGCACACGATCGTCCCTGTACATAATTGGATGCACGATACAGTCCTTTGTTCTACGCTCTTTGTTTCGATTGTTATTACCAATTTTACTTTCATCGCACGAAGACAACCTTAACTAATACATAGTCGTGTTATTACTTGCATCAGTAACCGCCACGCAATTTATCGCGGTCAACTTCCGACCTTCTTCGAAACGTTTCCTTCTACGAGTCGCTCAGTAATCTTTTCAGTAGTATTTATCTTCAATTATGTAATCAGGTATATCTACGTTGCATCATATTTTCAGAAGGTACTTTGATTCATCGTCTCCAGGTATCGAAGTACAAATTAAAATTGAGTCAATACATACCTCCTCGCAAAAACAACATTGACCTCCAGAAGTCTATCGCCGGATGTGTTGCTTCTGCGCAAAAAGTTCTAATCTAAAAAGC